CCCCCCGGGGCTCGGCGGGCCCGCGGCGATTGGGCGGCGAGAGCGGGTCAGGGCACCCGCGGGACCCGCCCCGCCCGGCCCAGCCCTGGCCCCCGCCAGAGTCCGGCGTGTGCTCAGCACTCCCTGCTGACCTGGCCCCTACAGTGGACCCCTGCGGTGACCTGGGGGGCGCCACACCCCGGATATGACTGTGGGGAAAGAGGCCTGGACGTGACACTTGGGAACCAGTCCACCCCTAAGTGGATGCTGTCCTCCGCACCGAGATAATGTGCTGGCCTCTAAGGGACTTACCTGTCTCCAGAAACAAAGCAACGGTCTCCTTCCTGACCCTACATGGTTTGGTTCCTGCCTTACGACCTCATCGCCACCACCATTCCCAACACATCCCTCCAGCCCTCCTCTGTGTGGCCATCTCAGATTCAACTTCGCGCTGTTTCCTCTGCCCTGTGCACGCTGCTCACTTCAGCTCCTGCCTTGGCTTACGCGGGCCTGACTCAAGGGCTCCGAGCTGGAAGCCGCAGCTGCGAGGCGTGGGTCACACTGGAGCAGCGTTAGGCCAATATACACATTTTAATGTAGTCTTCAAATAGTACACTAATTAGCACTGATCTCGATAACTGAATTTTAGGGTGACCCTTAACGTGTGCCCCAGCCAGGGCCCTGCTTTGCTCCTCTTGAAGTGTTCACCTGCACAGCCCTGCCCTCTGCCGCCTTTATCCTCTCAGTGGTTACAAGAGTAAAATTCTCAGCACCCTAACTTTTTTGATAAAGCTCTTCTGCCCAGCACCTGCTGGACTGTCATAAAACACTGCAGTAAAACAGAAACCAGCTGGGTGTCCCACTGCATTCCCATAATTCCACCAGCAGGAGGGAAGCTGAGGCAGGAGGATCTCTGAGAGTTCAAGAACAGCCTGGGAGGTGTGGGGGGGCAGAGATAGCTCAGTGGTCTAAGCGCATGCCTAGTCATACGGTGCTGGCCTCAGACCTGGTGTGGTAGTACATGCCTGTAATCCCAGCATGAGGAGGA